TTGCACACACTAGGCCCTTGTACTTGCAATTTTGGGAACGCTAGGCCCTTGTTCTTGATTTTTTGCACACGCTAGGCCCTTGCTCTTGCTATTGTGCACTCGCTAGGCCCTTGTTCTTGCAATTTTGCACACGCTAGGCCCTTGTTCTTGCAATTTTGCACACGCTAGGCCCTTGTTCTTCTTATTTTGCACACGCTAGGCCCTTGTTCTTTTTATTTTGCACACGCTAGGCCCTTGTTCTTGCTATTTTGCACACGCTGGGCCCTTGTTCTTTTTATTTTGCACACGCTAGGCCCTTGTTCTTGCAATTTTGCACATGCTAGACCTTTGTTCTTTTTTTTTGCACACGCTAGGCCCTTGTTCTTGCTATTTCGCGAACGCTAGGCCCTTGTTCTTGATTTTTTGCACACGCTAGGCCCTTGCTCTTGCTATTCTGCACTCGCTAGGCCCTTGTTCTTGCAATTTTGCACACGCTAGGCCCTTGCTCTTGCTATTAAGCGAACGCTAGGCCCTTGTTCTTGATTTTTTGCAGACGCTAGGCCCTTGCTCTTGATTTTCTGCACTCGCTAGGCCCTTGTTCTTGCAATTTTGAACACGCTAGGCCCTTGTTCTTGCAATTTTGCACACGCTAGGCCTTTGTTCTTTTTATTTTGCACACGCTAGGCCCTTGTTCTATATATTTTGCACACGCTAGGCCCTTGTTCTTGCTATTTTGCATACGCTATGCCCTTGTTCTTTCTATTTTGCACACGCTAGGCCCTTGTTCTTGCAATTTTGCACATGCTAGACCTTTGCTCTTTTTATTTTGCACACGCTAGGCCCTTGTTCTTGCTATTTCGCGAACGCTAGGCCCTTGTTCTTGATTTTTTGCACACGCTAGGCCCTTGCTCTTGCTATTTTGCACTCGCTAGGCCCTTGTTCTTGCAATTTTGCACACGCTAGGCCCTTGTTTTTGCAATTTAGCACACGCTGGGCCCTTGTTCTTTTTATTTTGCACACGCTAGGACCTTGTTCTTTTTATTTTGCACACGTTAGGCCCTTGATCTTGCTATTTTGCACATGCTAGGCTCTTGTTCTTTTTATTTTGCACACGCTGGGCCCTTGTTCTTTTTATTTTGCACACGCTAGGCCCTTGTTCTTTTTATTTTGCACACGCTAGGCCCTTGTTCTTGCAATTTTGCACATGCTAGGCCCTTGTTCTTATTATTTTGCACACGCTAGGCCCTTGCTTTTGCTATTTCGCGAACGCTAGGCCCTTGTTCTTTTTATTTTGCACACGCTATGCCCTTGATCTTTTTATTTTGCACACGCTATGCCCTTGTTCTTTTTATTTTGCACACGCTAGACCCTTGTTCTTCATATTTTGCACATGCTAGACCTTTGTTCTTTTTATTTTGCACACGCTAGGCCCTTGTTCTTGCAATTTGGCACACGCTAGGCCCTTGTTCTTGCAATTTTGCACACGCTAGGCCTTTGTTCTTGCAATTTTGCACACGCTAGGCCCTTGTTCTTGCAATTTTGCACACGCTAGGCCCTTGTTCTTGCAATTTTGCACACGCTAGGCCCTTGTTCTTGCAATTTTGCACACGCTAGGCCCTTGTTCTTGCAATTTTGCACACGCTAGGCCCTTGTTCTTGCAATTTTGCACACGCTAGGCCCTTGTTCTTTTTATTTTGCACACGCTAGGCCCTTATTCTTTTTATTCTGCACACGCTTGGCCCTTGTTCTTGCAATTTTGCACATGCTAGACCCTTGTTCTTTTTATTTTGCACACACTAGGCCCTTGCACTTGCTATTTTGTGAACGCTAGGCCCTTGTTCTTGACTTTTTGCACACGCTAGGCCCTTGCTCTTGCTATTGTGCACTCGCTAGGCCCTTGTTCTTGCAATTTTGCACACGCTAGGCCCTTGTTCTTGCAATGTTGCACACGCTAGGCCCTTGTTCTTCTTATTTTGCACACGCTAGGCCCTTGTTCTTTTTATTTTGCACACGCTAGGCCCTTGTTCTTGCTATTTTGCACACGCTATGTTCTAGTTCTTTTTTTTTTGCACACGCTAGGCCCTTGTTCTTGCAATTTTGCCCATGCTAGACCCTTGTTCTTTATATTTTGCACATGCTAGGCCCTTGGTCTTGCTATTTCGCGAACGCTACGCCCTTGTTCTTTATTTTTTGCAGACGCTAGGCCCTTGCTCTTGCTTTTCTGCACTCGCTAGGCCCTTGTTCTTGCAATTTTGAACACTCTAGGCCCTTGTTCTTGCAATTTTGCACACGCTAGGCCCTTGTTCTTTTTATTTTGCACACGCTAGGCCCTTGTTGTATTTATTTTGCACACACTAGGCCCTTGTTCTTGCTTTTTTGCACACGCTATGCCCTTGTTCTTTTTATTTTGCACACGCTAGGCCCTTGTTCTTGCAATTTTGCACATGCTAGACCTTTGTTCTTTTTTTTTTGCACACGCTAGGCCCTTGTTCTTGCTATTTCGCGAACGCTAGGCCCTTGTTCTTGATTTTTTGCACACGCTAGGCCCTTGCTCTTGCTATTTTGCACTCGCTAGGCCCTTGTTCTTGCAATTTTGCACACGCTAGGCCCTTGCTCTTGCTATTACGCGAACGCTAGGCCCTTGTTCTTGATTTTTTGCAGACGCTAGGCCCTTGCTCTTGATTTTCTGCACTCGCTAGGCCCTTGTTCTTGCAATTTTGAACACGCTAGGCCCTTGCTCTTGCTATTTTGCACTCGCTAGGCCCTTGTTCTTGCAATTTTGCACACGCTAGGCCCTTGTTTTTGCAATTTTGCACACGCTGGGCCCTTGTTCTTTTTATTTTGCACACGCTAGGACCTTGTTCTTTTTATTTTGCACACGTTAGGCCCTTGATCTTGCTATTTTGCACATGCTAGGCTCTTGTTCTTTTTATTTTGCACACGCTGGGCCCTTGTTCTTTTTATTTTGCACACGCTAGGCCCTTGTTCTTTTTTTTTTGCACACGCTAGGCCCTTGTTCTTGCAATTTTGCACATGCTAGGCCCTTGTTCTTTTTATTTTGCACACGCTAGGCCCTTGCTTTTGCTATTTCGCAAACGCTAGGCCCTTGTTCTTTTCATTTTGCACACGCTATGCCCTTGATCTTTTTATTTTGCACACGCTATGCCCTTGTTCTTTTTTTTTTACACACGCTAGACCCTTGTTCTTCATATTTTGCACATGCTAGACCTTTGTTCTTTTTATTTTGCATACGCTAGGCCCTTGTTCTTGCAATTTTGCACACGCTAGGCCCTTGTTCTTGCAATTTTGCACACGCTAGGCCCTTGTTCTTGCAATTTTGCACACGCTAGGCCCTTGTTCTTGCAATTTTGCACACGCTAGGCCCTTGTTCTTGCAATTTTGCACACGCTAGGCCCTTGTTCTTGCGATTTTGCACACGCTAGGCCCTTGTTCTTTTTATTTTGCACACGCTAGGCCCTTATTCTTTTTATTCTGCACACGCTAGGCCCTTGTTCTTGCAATTTTGCACACGCTAGGCCCTTGTTTTTGCAATTTTGCACACGCTAGGCCCTTGTTCTTTTTATTTTGCACACGCTAGGCCCTTGTTCTTTTTATTTTGCACACGCTAGGCCCTTGTTCTTGCTACTTTGCACACGCTATGCCCTAGTTCTTTTTAATTTGCACACACTAGGCCCTTGTTCTTGCAATTTTGCACATGCTAGACCCTTGTTCTTTTTATTTTGCACACACTAGGCCCTTGCACTTGCTATTTTGCGAACGCTAGGCCCTTGTTCTTGATTTTTTGCACACGCTAGGCCCTTGCTCTTGCTATTGTGCACTCGCTAGGCCCTTGTTCTTGCAATTTTGCACACGCTAGGCCCTTGTTCTTGCAATTTTGCACACGCTAGGCCCTTGTTCTTCTTATTTTGCACACGCTAGGCCCTTGTTCTTTTTATTTTGCACACGCTAGGCCCTTGTTCTTGCTATTTTGCACACGCTGGGCCCTTGTTCTTTTTATTTTGCACACGCTAGGCCCTTGTTCTTGCAATTTTGCACATGCTAGACCTTTGTTCTTTTTTTTTGCACACGCTAGGCCCTTGTTCTTGCTATTTCGCGAACGCTAGGCCCTTGTTCTTGATTTTTTGCACACGCTAGGCCCTTGCTCTTGCTATTTTGCACTCGCTAGGCCCTTGTTCTTGCAATTTTGCACACGCTAGGCCCTTGCTCTTGCTATTACGCGAACGCTAGGCCCTTGTTCTTGATTTTTTGCAGACGCTAGGCCCTTGCTCTTGATTTTCTGCACTCGCTAGGCCCTTGTTCTTGCAATTTTGAACACGCTAGGCCCTTGTTCTTGCAATTTTGCACACGCTAGGCCTTTGTTCTTTTTATTTTGCACACGCTAGGCCCTTGTTCTATATATTTTGCACACGCTAGGCCCTTGTTCTTGCTATTTTGCATACGCTATGCCCTTGTTCTTTCTATTTTGCACACGCTAGGCCCTTGTTCTTGCAATTTTGCACATGCTAGACCTTTGCTCTTTTTATTTTGCACACGCTAGGCCCTTGTTCTTGCTATTTCGCGAACGCTAGGCCCTTGTTCTTGATTTTTTGCACACGCTAGGCCCTTGCTCTTGCTATTTTGCACTCGCTAGGCCCTTGTTCTTGCAATTTTGCACACGCTAGGCCCTTGTTTTTGCAATTTAGCACACGCTGGGCCCTTGTTCTTTTTATTTTGCACACGCTAGGACCTTGTTCTTTTTATTTTGCACACGTTAGGCCCTTGATCTTGCTATTTTGCACATGCTAGGCTCTTGTTCTTTTTATTTTGCACACGCTGGGCCCTTGTTCTTTTTATTTTGCACACGCTAGGCCCTTGTTCTTTTTATTTTGCACACGCTAGGCCCTTGTTCTTGCAATTTTGCACATGCTAGGCCCTTGTTCTTATTATTTTGCACACGCTAGGCCCTTGCTTTTGCTATTTCGCGAACGCTAGGCCCTTGTTCTTTTTATTTTGCACACGCTATGCCCTTGATCTTTTTATTTTGCACACGCTATGCCCTTGTTCTTTTTATTTTGCACACGCTAGACCCTTGTTCTTCATATTTTGCACATGCTAGACCTTTGTTCTTTTTATTTTGCACACGCTAGGCCCTTGTTCTTGCAATTTGGCACACGCTAGGCCCTTGTTCTTGCAATTTTGCACACGCTAGGCCCTTGTTCTTGCAATTTTGCACACGCTAGGCCCTTGTTCTTGCAATTTTGCACACGCTAGGCCCTTGTTCTTGCAATTTTGCACACGCTAGGCCCTTGTTCTTGCAATTTTGCACACGCTAGGCCCTTGTTCTTTTTATTTTGCACACGCTAGGCCCTTATTCTTTTTATTCTGCACACGCTTGGCCCTTGTTCTTGCAACTTTGCACACGGACGCAGACGTGGACGCGGATGTGGACGCGGATGTGGACGCGGACGTGGACGTGGACGTGGACGCGGACGTGGACGCGGACGTGGACGCGGACGTGGACGCGGAAGTGGACGCGGAAGTGGACGCGGAAGTGGACGCGGAAGTGGACGCGGACGTGGACGCGGACGTGGATGTGGACGTGGACGTGGTCGTGGACGTGGTCGTGGACGTGGACGTGGACGAGGACGTGGTCGTGGAGGTGGACGTGGACGTGGTCGTGGACATGGACGTGGACGTGGACGTGGACGTGGACGAGGACGTGGTCGTGGACGTGGTCGTGGACGTGGTCGTGGACGTGGACGTGGACCTGGACGTGGACGTGGACGTAGACGTAGACGTGGTCGTGTGGACGTGGACGTGGACGTGGACGTGGCCGTGGACATGGACGTGGACGTGGACATGGCCCTGGACGTGGACGTGGACGTGGACCTGGACATGGACGTGGACGAGGACGTGGACGTAGACGTGGACATGGACGTGGACGTGGACGTGGACTTGGACGTGGACGTGGACATGGCCCTGGACGTGGATGTGGACGTGGTCGTGGATGTGGACGTGGTCGTGGACGCAGACATGGACGTGGACGTGGACGTGGACTTGGACGTGGACGTGGACGTGGACGTGGAGGACGTGGACGTGGAGGACATGGACGTGGTCGTGGACGTGGTCGTGGACGTGGTCATGGACGTGGACGTGGACGTGGACGTGGACTTGGACGTGGACGTGGACGTGGACGGGGACGTGGACTTGGACGTGGACGTGGAGGACGTGGACGTGGAGGACGTGGACGTGGAGGACGTAGACGTGGACGTGGACGTGGACGTGGACGTGGACGTGGACGTGGCCGTGGACGTGGACGTGGACGTGGACATGGCCCTGGACGTGGACGTGGATGTGGATGTGGACCTGGACATGGACGTGGACGAGGACGTGGACGTAGACGTGGACGTGGACGTGGACTTGGACGTGGACGTGGACGTGGACATGGCCCTGGACGTGGATGTGGACGTGGTCGTGGACGTGGACGTGGTCGTGGACGCAGACGTGGACGTGGACGTGGACGTGGACTTGGACGTGGACGTGGACGTGGACGAGGACGTGGAGGACGTGGACGTGAACATGGAGGACGTGGACGTGGAGGACGTGGACGTGGACATGGACGGGGACGTGGACGTGGACATGGACCTGGACTTGGACGTGGACGTGGACGTGGACGTAGACGTGGTCGTGGACGTGGACGTGGACGTGGTCGTGGACGTGGAGGTGGACGTGGACGTGGACGTGGAGGACGTGGACGTGGAGGACGTGGACGTGGACGTGGACGTGGACGTAGACATGGTCGTAGACGTGGACGTGGTCGTAGACGTGGACGTGGACGTGGAGGACGTGGACGTGGAGGACGTGGACATGGACGTGGACGTGGACCTGGTTGTAGACGTGGACGTGGTCGTGGACGTGGACGTGGACCTGGACCTGGACGTGGACATGGACCAGGACTTGGACGTGGACGTGGACGTGGACGTGGTCGTGGACGTGGACGTGGACGTGGACGTTGATGTGGTGGTGGACGTGGACGTGGACGTGGAGGTGGACGTGGACGTTGACGTGGACGTGGACATGGTCTAGACGTGGACGTGGACGTGGACTTGGACGTGGACGTGGACGTGGACGTGGACGTGGTCGTGGACGTGGACGTGGGCGTGGACGTGGTCGTGGACGTGGACGTGGACGTGGACATGGACGTGGACGTGGACGTGGACGTTGACGTGGTCGTGGACGTGGACGTGGTCGTGGACGTGGACGTGGACTTGGACGTGGACGTGGACGTGGACGTGGACGTGGACGTGGCCGTGGACGTGGACGTGGACGTGGACATGGCCCTGGACGTGGACGTGGACGTGGATGTGGACCTGGACATGGTCGTGGACGAGGGCGTGGACGTAGACGTGGACGTAGACGTGGACATGGACTTGGACGTGGACGTGGACGTGGACGTGGACATGGCCCTGGACGTGGATGTGGACATGGTCGTGGACGTGGACGTGGTCGTGGACGCAGACGTGGACGTGGACGTGGACGTGGACTTGGACGTGGACGTGGACGTGGCATGGAGGACGTAGACGTGAACATGGAGGACGTGGACGTGGAGGACTTGGATGTGGACGTGGACGTGGACGTGGACGTGGACATGGACCTGGACTTGGACGTGGACGTGGACGTGGACGTGGACGTGGACGTGGTCGTGGACGTGGACGTGGACGTGGTCGTGGACGTGGAGGTAGACGTGGACGTGGACGTGGAGGACGTGGACGTGGAGGACGTGGACGTGGACGTGGACGTGGACGTAGACATGGTCGTAGACGTGGACGTGGTCGTAGACGTGGACGTGGACGTGGAGGACGTGGACTTGGAGGACGTGGACATGGACGTGGACGTGGACCTGGTTGTAGACGTGGACGTGGTCGTGGACGTGGACGTGGACGTGCACGTGGACCTGGACCTGGACGTGGACATGGACCAGGACTTGGACGTGGACGTGGACGTGGACGTGGACGTGGTCGTGGACGTGGACGTGGACGTCGACGTGGTGGTGGACGTGGACGTGGACGTGGAGGTGGACGTGGACGTTGACGTGGACGTGGACATGGTCGTGCACGTGGACGTGGACGTGGACGTGGACGTGGACGTGGACGTGGACATGGACCAGGACTTGGACGTGGACGTGGACGTGGACATGGACCAGGACTTGGACGTGGACGTGGACGTGGACGTGGACGTAGTCGTGGACGTGGACGTGGACGTGGACGTGGTCGTGGACGTGGACGTGGACGTGGACGTGGACGTGGACGTGGACGTTGTTGTGGTCGTGGACGTGGACGTGGACGTGGACGTGGACGTGGACGTGGACCTGGACCTGGACATGAACGTGGACGTGGACGTAGACGTGGACGTGGACGTGGTCGTGGACGTGGACGTGGACGTGGACGTGGACTTGGACGAAGACATGGAGGACGTGGACGTGGACGTAGACGTGGACGTGGACGTGGACGTAGACGTGGACGTGGACGTGGACTTGGACGTGGACGTGGACGTTGACGTGGATGTGGACGTGGATGTGGACTTGGACGTGGACGTGGACGTGGACGTGGACGTGGACGTGGACGCGGACGTGGACGTGCACGTGGACGTGGTCATGGACGTGGACGTGGACCTGGACGTGGACGTGGACATGGACGTGGACATGGTCGTGGACGTTGACCTGGATGTGGACGTGGACTTGGACGTGGACGTGGACGTGGACGTGGACGTGGACGTGGTCGTGGACGCAGACGTGGACGTGGACTTGGACGTGGACGTGGACGTGGACGTGGAGGACGTGGACGTGGACGTGGAGGACGTGGACGTGGAGGACGTGGACGTGGACGCGGACGTGGTCGTGGACGTGGACGTGGACGTGGACGTGGAGGTGGACGTGGACGTGGAGGACGTGGACGTGGAGGACGTGGACGTGGACGCGGACGTGGTCATGGACGTGGACGTGGACGTGGACTTGGACGTGGACGTGGACGGGGACGTGGACGTGGACGTGGACGTGGAGGACGTGGACGTGGACGTGGAGGACGTGGACGTGGAGGACGTAGACGTGGACGTGGACATGGACGTGGTCGTGGACGTGGACGTGGACGTGGTCGTGGACGTGGACGTGGACGTGATCGTGGTCGTGGACGTGGACGTGGACGTGGACGTGGACGTGGACGTGGACCTGGACCTGGACATGAACGTGGACGTGGACGTAGACGTGGACGTGGACGTGGTCGTGGACGTGGACGTGGACGTGGACTTGGACGAAGACATGGAGGACGTGGACGTGGACGTAGACGTGGACGTGGACGTGGACGTGGACGTAGACGTGGACGTGGACGTGGACTTGGACGTGGACGTGGACGTTGACGTGGACGTGGACGTGGACGTGGAGGACGTGGACGTGGACGTGGAGGACGTGGACGTGGAGGACGTAGACGTGGACGTGGACGTGGTCGTGGACGTGGACGTGGACGTGGACGTGGACATGGTCGTGGACGTGGACGTGGACGTGGTCGTGGACGTGGACGTGGACGTGGACGTGGACCTGGACCTGGACGTTGACATGGACCTGGACTTGGACGTGGACGTGGACGTGGACGTGGACGTGGTCGTGGACGTGGACGTGGTCGTGGACGTGGAGGTGGACGTGGACGTGGAGGTGGACGTGGACGTGGACATGGACGTGGACGTGGAGGTGGACGTGGACATGGACGTGGACGTGGAGGTGGACGTGGACGTGGACGTGGAGGTGGACGTGAACGTGGACGTGGTCGTGGACGTGGACGTGGACGTGGACGTGGTCGTGGACGTGGACGTGGACGTGGACGTAGACGTGGACGTGGACGACGTGGACGTGGACGTGGACGTTGACGTGGACGTGGACGTGGACGTGGACGTGGTCGTGGGCGTGGACGTGGACATGGTTGTGGACGTCAACGTGGACGTCAACGTGGACGTGGACGTGGTCGTGTACGTAGACGTGGACGTGGACGTGGACGTGGACGTGGACGTGGACGTGGACATGGACGTGGACGTGGTCGTGGACGTGGACGTGGACGTGGACATGGACGTGGACGTGGACGTGGACATGGACCTTGATTGGACGTGGACGTGGTCGTCGACGTGGACGTGGACGTGGTCGTCGACGTGGACGTGGACATGGACGTGGACGTGGTCGTGGACGTGGTCGTCGACGTGGACGTGGACATGGACGTGGACGTGGTCGTGGACGTGGACGTGGACATGGACGTGGACGTGGACGTGGACATGGACCTTGATTGGACGTGGACGTGGACCTGGACGTGGACGTGGACGTGGACCTGGACCTGGACGTGGACGTGGACGTGGACGTGGACGTGGTCGTGGACGTGGACGTGGACGTGGACGTGGACGTGGTCGTGGACGTGGACGTCGACGTGGCCCTGGACGTGGACGTGGACGTGGACGTGGACGTGGACGTGGACTTGGACGTGGACGTGGACGTGGACGTGGAGGACGTGGACGTGGACGTGGAGGACGTGGACGTGGAGGACGTGGACGTGGACCTGGACGTGGACGTGGTCGTGGACGTGGACGTGGACGTGGTCATGGACGTGGACGTGGACGTGGACGTGGACTTGGACGTGGACGTGGACGGGGACGTGGACGTGGACGTGGAGGACGTGGACGTGGACGACGTGGACGTGGACGTGGACGTGGACTTGGACGAAGACGTGGACGTGGACGTGGACGTAGACGTGGTTGTGGACGTGGACGTGGACGTGGACGTGGACATGGAGGACGTGGACGTGGACGTAGACGTGGACGTGGACATGGACGTGGACGTGGTCGTGGACGTGGACGTGGACGTGGACGTGGACTTGGACGTGGACGTGGACGTGGATGTGGACGTGGACGTGGCCGTGGACGTGGACGTGAACGTGGACATGGCCCTAGACGTGGACGTGGACGTGGACGTGGACATGGACGTGGACGAGGACGTGGACATGGACGTGGACGTGGACGTGGACGTGGCCTTGGACGTGGACGTGGACGTGGACGTGGACGTCGACATGGCCCTGGACGTGGACGTGGACGTGGACGTGGACGTGGACGTGGACTTAGACGTGGACGTGGACGTGGACGTGGAGGACGTGGACGTGGACGTGGAGGACGTGGACGTGGAGGACGTGGACGTGGACCTGGACGTGGACGTGGTCGTGGACGTGGACGTGGACGTGGACGTGGTCATGGACGTGGACGTGGACGTGGACGTGGACGTGGACTTTGACGTGGACGTGGACGGGGACGTGGACGTGGACGTGGACGTGGACGTGGAGGACGTGGACGTGGACGTAGAGGACGTGGACGTGGAGGACGTAGACGTGGACGTGGACGTGGACGTGGTCGTGGACGTGGACGTGGACGTGGTCGTAGACGTGGACGTGGACGTGGTCGTGGACGTGGACGTGGACGTGGACATGGACGTGGACGTGGACGTGGACGTGGACGTGACGTGGTCGTGGACGTGGACGTGGACGTGGACTTGGACGTGGACGTGGCCGTGGACGTGGACGTGGACGTGGACGTGGCCGTGGCCCTGGACGTGGACGTGGACGTGGACCTGGACGTGGACGTGGACGAGGACGTGGACGTCGACGTGGACGTGGACGTGGACGTGGACGTGGACGACGTGGACGTGGACGTTGAGGACGTGGACGTGGAGGACGTCGACGTGGACGTGGACGTGGACGTGGTCGTGGACGTGGACGTGGACGTGGACATGGTCGTTGACGTGGACGTGGACGTGGTCGTGGACGTGGACGTGGACGTGGACGTGGACCTGGACCTGGACGTGGACATGGACCTGGACTCGGACGTGGACGTAGACGTGGTCGTGGACGTGGACGTGGACGTGGACGTGGACTTGGACGTGGACCTGGACGTGGACGTGGACGTAGACGTGGTCGTGGACGTGGACGTGGAGGTGGACGTGGCCGTGGACGAGGACGTGGACGTGGACATAGCCCTGGACGTGGACGTGGACGTGGACCTGAACAAGGACGTGGACGAGGACGTGGACGTGGACGTGGATGTGGACGTGGACTTGGACGTGGACGTGGACGTGGACGTGGACATGGCCCTGGACGTGGATGTGGACGTGGTCGTGGACGTGGACGTGGTCGTGGACGCAGACGTGGACGTGGACGTGGACGTGGACTTGGACGTGGACGTGGACGTGGAGGACATGGACGTGAACGTGGAGGACGTGGACGTGGAGGACGTGGACGTGGACGTGGATGTGGACGTGGTCGTGGACGTGGATGTGGTCGTAGACGTGGACGTGGACGTGGTCGTGGACGTGGACGTGGACGTGGACGTGGACGTGGACCTGGACGTGGACGTGGACGTGGACGTGGTCGTGGACGTGGACGTGGACATGCACGTGGACGTGGACGTGGACGTGGTCGCGGACATTGACGTGGACGTGGGCGTTGACGTGGACCTGGTCGTGGACGTGGACGTGGACGTGGACGTGGACGTGGAGGACGTGGACGTGGACGTCGACGTGGACGTGGACGTGGTCGTGGACGTGGACATGGTCGTGGACGTGGACGTGGACGTGGACGTGGACGTGGACCTGGTCGTGGACGTGGACGTGGACGTGGACGTGGTCGCAGACGTTGACGTGGACGTGGACGTTGACGTGGACGTAGACGTCGACGTGGACTTGGACGTGGACGTGGATGTGGACGTGGACGTGGACGTGGACGTGGAAGTGGACGTGGACGTGGACATGGCCCTGGACGTGGACGTGGACGTGGACGTGGACGTGGACGTGGTCGTGGACGTCGACGTGGACGTGGACGTGGTCGTGGACGTAGACGTGGACGTGGACGTGGACTTGGACGTGGACGTGGATGTGGATGTGGACATGGAGGACGTGGACGTGGACGTGGAGGACGTGGACGTGGAGGACGTGGACGTGGACGTGGACGTGGACATGGTCGTGGACGTGGACGTGGACGTGGTCGTCGGACCTGGACTTGGACGTGGACGTGAACGTGGACGTGGACGTGGACGTGGTCGTGGACGTGGACGTGGACGTGGACATGGAGGTGGATGTGGACGTGGACGTGGACGTGGACGTCGACGTGGACGTGGTCGTGGACGTCGACGTGGACGTGGACGTGGTCGTGGACGTGGACGTGGACGTGGACGTGGTCATGGACGTGGACGTGGACGTGGACGTGGTCGTGGACGTGCACGTGGAGGACGTGGACGTGGACGTGGAGGACGTGGACGTGGAGGACGTGGACGTGGACGTGGACGTGGTCGTAGACGTGGACGTGGTCGTAGACGTGGACGTGGACGTGGTCGTGGACGTGGACGTGGACGTGGACGTGGACCTGGACCTGGACCTGGACGTGGACATGGACGTGGACGTGGACGTGGACGTGGAGGACGTGGACGTGGACGTGGAGGACGTGGACGTGGAAGACGTGGACATGGACGTGGACGTGGACGTGGACATGGTCGTAGACGTGGACGTGGTCGTAGACGTGGACGTGGACGTGGAGTACGTGGACGTGGAGGACGTGGACGTGGACGTGGACGTGGACCTGGTCGTAGACGTGGACGTGGTCGTGGACGTGGACGTGGACGTGGTCGTGGACGTGGACGTGGACGTGGACCTGGACCTGGACGTGGACATGGACCTGGACTTGGACGTGGACGTGGACGTGGACGTGGACGTGGTCGTGGACGTGGACGTGGACGTGGATTTGGACGTGGACGTGGACGTGGAGGTGGACGTGGACGTTGACGTGGACGTGGACATGGTCATGGACGTGGACGTGGACGTGGACTTGGACGTGGACGTGGACGTGGACGTGGACGTGGTCGTGGACGTGGACGTGGACGTGGAGGACGTGGACGTGGACGTGGACGTGGTCGTGGACGTGGACGTGGTCGTAGACGTGGACGTGGACGTGGACGTTGACGTGGACGTGGACGTGGACGTAGACGTGGTCGCGGACGTTGACGTGGACGTGGACGTAGACGTTGACGTGGACGTGGACGTTGACGTGGACCTGGTCGTGGACGTGGACGTGGACGTGGAGGACGTGGACGTGGACGTAGACGTGGACGTGGATCTGGACGTGGACGTGGACGCGGACATGGTCGTGGACGTGGACGTGGACGTGGACATCGACGTGGTCGTGGACGTGGACGTGGACGTGGACGTGGACGTGGACGTGGACGTGGTCGCGGACGTTGATGTGGACGTGGACGTTGACGTGGACGTGGACGTGGACGTGGACTTGGACGTGGACGTGGATGTGGACGTGGACGTGGACGTGGACGTGGAAGTGGACGTGGACGTGGACATGGCCCTGGACGTCGACGTGGACCTGGACGTGTTCGTTGACGTGGACGTTGACGTGGACGTGGACGTGGTCGTGGACGTGGACGTGGACGTGGACTTGGACGTGGACGTGGACGTGGACGTGGAGGACGTGGACGTGGACGTGGAGGACGTGGACGTGGAGGATGTGGACGTGGACGTGGACGTGGACGTGACGTGGACGTGGACGTGGACGTGGACATGGTCGTGGACGTGGACGTGGACATCGTCGTGGACGTGGACGTGGACGTGAACGTGGACGTGGACGTGGACGTGGACGTGGTCGTGGACGTGGACGTGGACGTGGAGGTGGACGTGGACATGGACGTGGACGTGGACGTGGACGTGGTCGTGGACGTCGACGTGGACGTGGACGTGGACGTGGTCGTGGACGAGGACGTGGACGTGGACGTGGACGTGGTCGTGGACGTGGACGTGGACGTGGACGTGGAGGTGGACGTGGACGTGGACGTGGAGGACGTGGACGTGGAGGACGTGGACGTGGACGTGGACGTGGACATGGTCGTGGACGTGGACGTGGTCGTAGACGTGGACGTGGACGTGGTCGTGGACGTGGACGTGGAGGTGGACGTAAACGTGGACGTGGACCTGGACGTGGACATGGACGTGGACGTGGACGTGGACGTGGAGGACGTGGACGTGGACGTGGAGGACGTGGACGTGGAAGACGTGGACGTGGACGTGGACGTGGACATGGTCGTAGACGTGGACGTGGTCGTAGACGTGGACGTGATCTTGGAGGACGTGGACGTGGAGGACGTGGACGTGGACGTGGACGTGGACCTGGTCGTAGACGTGGTCGTGGACGTGGACGTGGTCGTGGACGTGGACGTGGACCTGGACCTGGACGTGGAGATGGACGTGGACTTGGACGTGGACGTGGACGTGGACGTGGACGTGGCAAGGACGTGGACATGGACGTGGACGTGGTGGTGGATGTGGACGTTGACGTGGAGGTGGACGTGGTCGTGGTCGTGGACGTGGACATGGTCGTGGTCGTGGACGTGGACGTGGACGTGGACGTGGTCGTGGACGTGGACGTGGACGTCGACGTCGACGTGGACGTGGACGTGGACGTGGTCGTGGACGTGGACGTGGTCGTGGTCGTGGTCGCGGACGTTGACGTGGACGTGGACGTTGACGTGGACGTGGACGTGGACGTGGACTTGGACGTGGACGTGGATGTGGACGTGGACGTGGACGTGGACGTGGAAGTGGACGTGGACGTGGACATGGCCCTGGACGTCGACGTGGACCTGGACGTGTTCGTTGACGTGGACGTTGACGTGGACGTGGACGTGGTCGTGGACGTGGACGTGGACGTGGACTTGGACGTGGACGTGGACGTGGACGTGGAGGACGTGGACGTGGAGGACGTGGACGTGGAGGATGTGGACGTGGACGTGGACGTGGACGTGACGTGGACGTGGACGTGGACGTGGACATGGTCGTGGACGTGGACGTGGACATCGTCGTGGACGTGGACGTGGACGTGAACGTGGACGTGGACGTGGACGTGGACGTGGTCGTGGACGTGGACGTGGACGTGGAGGTGGACGTGGACATGGACGTGGACGTGGACGTGGACGTGGTCGTGGACGTCGACGTGGACGTGGACGTGGACGTGGTCGTGGACGAGGACGTGGACGTGGACGTGGACGTGGTCGTGGACGTGGACGTGGACGTGGACGTGGAGGTGGACGTGGACGTGGACGTGGAGGACGTGGACGTGGAGGACGTGGACGTGGACGTGGACGTGGACGTGGACGTGGTCGTGGACGTGGACGTGGAGGTGGACGTAAACGTGGACGTGGACCTGGACGTGGACATGGACGTGGACGTGGACGTGGACGTGGAGGACGTGGACGTGGACGTGGAGGACGTGGACGTGGAAGACGTGGACATGGACGTGGACGTGGACGTGGACATGGTCGTAGACGTGGACGTGGTCGTAGACGTGGACGTGATCTTGGAGGACGTGGACGTGGAGGACGTGGACGTGGACGTGGACGTGGACCTGGTCGTAGACGTGGTCGTGGACGTGGACGTGGTCGTGGACGTGGACGTGGACCTGGACCTGGACGTGGACATGGACGTGGACTTGGACGTGGACGTGGACGTGGCAAGGACGTGGACATGGACGTGGACGTGGTGGTGGATGTGGACGTTGACGTGGAGGTGGACGTGGTCGTGGTCGTGGACGTGGACATGGTCGTGGTCGTGGACGTGGACGTGGACGTGGACGTGGTCGTGGACGTGGACGTGGACGTCGACGTCGACGTGGACGTGGACGTGGACGTGGTCGTGGACGTGGACGTGGTCGTGGTCGTGGTCGTGGACGTGGACATGGTCGTGGACGTGGACGTGGACGTGGACGTCGACGTGGCCGTGGACGTGGACGTGGACGTGGCCGTGGACGTGGACATGGACGTGGACATGGCCCTGGACGTAGACGTGGACGTGGACGTGGACGTGAACATGGACCGGACGAGGACGTGGACATGGACGTTGACGTGGACGTGGATATGGACTTGGACGTGGACGTGGACGTGGACGTGGACGTCGACATGGCCCTGGACGTGGACGTGGACGTGGTCGTGGACGTGGACGTGGACATGGACGTGGTCGTGGACGCAGACGTGGACGTGGACGTGGACGTGGACTTGGACGTGGACGTGGACGTGGACGTGGAGGACGTGGACGTGGACGTGGAGGACGTGGATGTGGAGGACGTGGACGTGGTCATGGACGTGGACGTGGTCGTAGACGTGGACGTGGACGTGGTCGTGGACGTGGACGTGGACGTAGACCTGGACCTGGTCGTGAACGTGGACGTGGAGGACGTGGACGTGGACGTGGAGGACGTGGACGTGGACGTGGAGGACGTGGACGTGGAGGACGTAGACGTGGACGTGGACGTGGACGTGGATGTGGACGTGGACTTGAACGTGGACGTGGACGTGGACGTGGACGTGGCCGTGGACGTGGACGTGGACGTGGGCGTGGTCGTGGTCGTGGACGTGGACGTGGACGTGGAGGACGTTGACGTGGACGTGGAGGACGTGGACGAGTACGTAGACGTGGTCGTGGACGTGGACGTGGACGTGGTCGTGGACGTGGACGTGGACATGGTCGTGGACGTGGACGTGGACGTGGACGTGGCCTGGACGTGGAGAACGTGGACGTGGACGTGGAGGACGTGGACGTGGACGTAGACGTGGACGTGGACGTGGACGTTGTCGTAGACGTGGACGTGGACGTGGACGTGGATGTGGACGTGGACTTGAACGTGGACGTGGACGTGGACGTGGACGTGGCCGTGGACGTGGACGTGGCCGTGGACGTGGACGTGGACCTGGCCCTGGACGTGGACGTGGACGTGGACGTGGACCTGGCCCTGGACGTGGACGTGGTCGTGTACGTGGACGTGGACGTGGACGTGGACGTGGAGGACGTGGTCGTGGACGTGGACGTGGACATGGACATGGACGTGGACATGGCCCTGGACGTAGACGTGGACGTGGACGTGGACGTGAACATGGACCGGACGAGGACGTGGACATGGACGTTGACGTGGACGTGGATATGGACTTGGACGTGGACGTGGACGTGGACGTGGACGTCGACATGGCCCTGGACGTGGACGTGGACGTGGTCGTGGACGTGGACATGGACGTGGTCGTGGACGCAGACGTGGACGTGGACGTGGACGTGGACTTGGACGTGGACGTGGACGTGGACGTGGAGGACGTGGACGTGGACGTGGAGGACGTGGATGTGGAGGACGTGGACGTGGTCATGGACGTGGACATGGTCGTAGACGTGGACGTGGACGTGGTCGTGGACGTGGACGTGGACGTGGACCTGGACCTGGTCGTGAACGTGGACGTGGAGGACGTGGACGTGGACGTGGAGGACGTGGACGTGGACGTGGAGGACGTGGACGTGGAGGACGTAGACGTGGACGTGGACCTGGACGTCGACGTGGACGTGGTCGTGGACGTGGACGTGGTCGTGGACGTGGACGTGGACGTGGACGTCGACGTTGACGTAGACGTGGTCGTGGACGTGGACGTGGACGTGGACTTGGACGTGGACGTGGACGTGGACGTGGACGTGGCCGTGGACGTGGACGTGGACGTGGACGTGGTCGTGGACGCGGACGTGGACGTAGACGTGGACTTGGACGTGGACGTGGACGTGGACGTGGCCGTGGACGTGGACGTGGACGTGGACGTGGCCCTGGACGTGGACGTGGACGTGGACGTAGACCTTGACATGGACGTGGACGAGGACGTGGACGTAGACGTGGACGTGGACGTGGGCGTGGGCGTGGTCGTGGTCGTGGTCGTGGTCGTGGACGTGGACGTGGACGTAGACATGGTCGTAGACGTGGACGTAGACGTAGACATGGTCGTAGACGTAGACGTAGACGTGGACGTAGACGTAGACGTGGACGTGGACGTGGGCGTGGTCGTGGTCGTGGACGTGGACGTGGACGTGGAGGACGTTGACGTGGACGTGGAGGACGTGGAGGAGTACGTAGACGTGGTCGTGGACGTGGACGTGGACGTGGTCGTGGACGTGGACGTGGACATGGTCGTGGACGTGGACGTGGACGTGGCCTGGACGTGGAGAACGTGGACGTGGACGTGGAGGACGTGGACGTGGACGTAGACGTGGACGTGGACGTGGACGTTGTCGTAGACGTGGACGTGGACGTGGACGTGGATGTGGACGTGGACTTGAACGTGGACGTGGACGTGGACGTGGACGTGGCCGTGGACGTGGACGTGGCCGTGGACGTGGACGTGGACCTGGCCCTGGACGTGGACGTGGACGTGGACGTGGACCTGGCCCTGGACGTGGACGTGGTTGTGGACGTGGACGTGGACGTGGACGTGGACGTGGAGGACGTGGTCGTGGACGTGGACGTGGACGTGGAGGACGTGGACGTGGACGTGGACGTGGTCGTGGACGTGGACGTGGACGTGGACGTGGACGTGGACGTGGTCGTGGACGTGGACGTGGACGTGGACGTGGACGTGGACGTGGACGTGGTCGTGGACGTGGACGTGGACGTGGACATGGTCGTGGACGTGGACGTGGACGTGGACGTGGCCTGGATGTGGAGAACGTGGACGTGGACGTGGAGGACGTGGACGTGGACGTAGACGTGGACGTGGACGTGGACGTGGAGGTGGACGTGGTCGTGGACGTGGACGTGGACGTGGACGTGGACGTGGACGTGGACCTGGACGTGGAGGACGTGGACGTGGAGGACGTGGACGTGGACGTAGACGTGGACGTGGACGTGGACGCGGTCGTGGACGTGGACGTGGACGTGGACGAGGACGTGGACGTGGTCGTGGACGTGGACGAGGACGTGGTCGTGGTCGTGGACGTGGACGTGGACGTGGTCCTGGACGTGGACGTGGACGTGGACGTGGTCCTGGACGTGGACGTGGACGTGGACGTGGACGTGGACGTGGACATGGACGTGGACATGGAGGACGTGGACGTGGACGTGGCGGACGTGGACGTTGACGTGGACGTGGACGTGGACGTGGACGTTGTCGTAGACGTGGAGGTGGACGTGGACGTGGATGTGGACGTGGACTTGAACGTGGACGTGGACGTGGACGTGGACGTGGCCGTGGACGTGGACGTGGCCGTGGACGTGGACGTGGACCTGGCCCTGGACGTGGACGTGGATGTGGACGTGGACGTAGACGTGGACGTGGACGTGGACGTGGTCGTGGACGTGGACGTGGACGTGGACGTGGAGGACGTGGACGTGGACGTGGACGTGGTCGTGGACGTGGACGTGGACGTTGACGTGGACGTGGTCGTGGACGTGGACGTGGTCGTGAACGCAGACGTGGACGTGGACGTGGACGTGGACTTGGACGTGGACGTGGACGTGGACGTGGAGGACGTGGACGTGGACGTGGACGTGGACGTGGTCGTGGACGTGGACGTGGACGTGGTCATGGACGTGGACGTGGACGTGGTCGTAGACGTGGACGTGGGCGTGGACGTGGACGTGGACGTGGACCTGGACGTGGACGTGGACGTGGACGTGGGCGTGGTCGTGGTCGTGGACGTGGACGTGGACGTGGAGGACGTTGACGTGGACGTGGAGGATGTGGACGAGTACGTAGACGTGGTCGTGGACGTGGACGTGGACGTGGTCGTGGACGTGGACGAGGACGTGGACAGGGACGTGGACGTGGACGTGGACGTGGACGTGGACGTGGACTTGGACGTGGACGTGGACGTGGACGTGGACGTGGCCGTGGACGTGGACGTGGACGTGGTCGTGGACATGGACGTGGACGTGGACGTGGACGTGGACGTGGTCGTGGACGTGGACGTGGACGTGGTCGTGGACGTGGACGTGGACGTGGACGTGGACGTGGCCGTGGACGTGGACGTGGTCGTGGACGTGGACGTGGACGTGGACGTGGACGTGGACGTGGACGTGGACGTGGACGTGGACGTGGTCGTGGACGTGGACGTGGACGTGGACGTGGACGTGGACGTGGTGGTGGACGGTGGACGTTGACGTGGAGGTGGACGTGGTCGTGGTCGTGGACGTGGACATGGTCGTGGTCGTGGACGTGGACGTGGACGTGGACGTGGACGTGGTCGTGGACGTGGACGTGGACGTGGACGTGGACGTGGACGTGGACGTGGTCGTGGACGTGGTCGTGGACGTGGTCGTGGACGTGGTCGTGGACGTGGTCGTGGACGTGGACGTGGACCTGGACGTGGACGTGGACGTGGACGTGGACGTGGATGTGGACGTGGTCGTGGACGTGGTCGTGGACGTATACGTGGACGTGGTCGTGGACGTCGACTTGGACGTGGACGTGGACGTGGACGTGGACGTGGACGTGGACTTGGACGTCGACGTGGACGTGGACTTGGACGTGGCCGTGGACGTGGACGTGGCCGTGGACGTGGACGTGGACGTGGACGTGGACATGGCCCTGGACGTAGACATGGACGTGGACGTGGACGTGGACATGGACCGGACGAGGACGTGGACATGGACGTTGACGTGGACGTGGATGTGGACTTGGACGTGGACGTGGATGTGGACTTGGACGTGGATGTGGACGTGGACGTCGACATGGCCCTGGACGTGGACGTGGACGTGGTCGTGGACGTGGACGTGGACATGGACGTGGCCGTGGACGCAGACGTGGACGTGGACGTGGACGTGGACTTGGACGTGGACGTGGACGTGGACGTGGACGTGGAGGACGTGGACGTGGACGTGGAGGACGTGGACGTGGAGGACGTGGACGTGGTCATGGACGTGGACGTGGTCGTAGACGTGGACGTGGTCGTGGACGTGGACGTGGACGTGGACCTGGACCTGGTCGTGAACGTGGACGTGGAGGACGTGGACGTGGACGTGGAGGACGTGGACGTGGACGTGGAGGACGTGGACGTGGAGGACGTAGACGTGGACGTGGACCTGGACGTCGACGTGGACGTGGTCGTGGACGTGGACGTGGTCGTGGACGTGGACGTGGACGTGGACGTGGACGTGGCCGTGGACGTGGACGTGGACGTGGACGTAAACTTGGACGTGGACGTGGACGTGGACGTGGCCGTGGACGTGGACGTGGACGTGGACGTGGTCGTGGACGTGGACGTGGACGTAGACGTGGACTTGGACGTGGACGTGGACGTGGACGTGGACGTGGACGTGGCCGTGGACGTGGACGTGGCCCAGGACGTGGACGTGGACGTGGACGTGGACCTTGACATGGACGTGGACGAGGACGTGGACGTAGACGTGGACGTGGACGTGGGCGTGGGCGTGGTCGTGGTCGTGGTCGTGGACGTGGACGTGGACGTAGACATGGTCGTAGACGTGGACGTGGACGTAGACATGGTCGTAGACGTAGACGTAGACGTGGACGTAGACGTAGACGTGGACGTGGACGTGGGCGTGGTCGTGGTCGTGGACGTGGACGTGGACGTGGAGGATGTTGACGTGGACGTGGAGGACGTGGACGAGTACGTAGACGTGGTCGTGGACGTGGACGTGGACGTGGACGTGGTCGTGGACGTGGACGTGGACGTGGACATGGTCGTGGACGTGGACGTGGACGTGGACGTGGCCTGGACGTGGAGAACGTGGACGTGGACGTGGAGGACGTGGACGTGGACGTAGACGTGGACGTGGACGTGGACGTTGTCGTAAACGTGGACGTGGACGTGGACGTGGATGTGGACGTGGACTTGAACGTGGACGTGGACGTGGACGTGGCCGTGGACGTGGACGTGGCCGTGGACGTGGACGTGGACCTGGCCCTGGACGTGGACGTGGACGTGGACGTAGACGTGGACGTGGACGTGGACGTTGTCGTAGACGTGGACGTGGACGTGGACGTGGATGTGGACGTGGACTTGAACGTGGACGTGGACGTGGACGTGGACGTGGCCGTGGACGTGGACGTGGCCGTGGACGTGGACGTGGACCTGGCCCTGGACGTGGACGTGGACGTGGACCTGGCCCTGGACGTGGACGTGGTCGTGGACGTGGACGTGGACGTGGACGTGGACGTGGACGTGGAGGACGTGGTCGTGGACGTGGACGTGGACGTGGACGTGGACGTGGAGGACGTGGACGTGGACGTGGACGTGGTCGTGGCCGTGGACGTGGACGTGGACGTGGACGTGGAGGACGTGGACGTGGACGTGGACGTGGACGTGGCCGTGGACGTGGACGTGGACGTGGACGTGGACGTGGTCGTGGACGTGGACGTGGACGTGGACATGGTCGTGGACGTGGACGTGGACGTGGACGTGGCCTGGATGTGGAGAACGTGGACGTGGAGGACGTGGACGTGGACGTAGACGTGGACGTGGACGTGGACGTGGACGTGGACGTGGTCGTGGACGTGGACGTGGACGTGGACGTGGACCTGGACGTGGAGGACGTGGACGTGGAGGACGTGGACGTGGACGTAGACGTGGACGCGGTCGTGGACGCGGTCGTGGACGTGGACGTGGACGTGGACGAGGACGTGGACGTGGTCGTGGACGTGGACCTGGACGTGGTCGTGGACGTGGACGTGGACGTGGACGTGGACGTGGACATGGACGTGGACATGGAGGACGTGGACGTGGACGTGGCGGACGTGGACGTTGACGTGGACGTGGACGTGGACGTGGACGTTGTCGTGGACGTGGACTTGAACGTGGACGTGGACGTGGACGTGGACGTGGCCGTGGACGTGGACGTGGCCGTGGACGTGGACGTGGACCTGGCCCTGGACGTGGACGTGGATGTGGACGTGGACGTGGACGTGGACGTGGTCGTGGACGTGGACGTGGACGTGGACGTGGACTTGGACGTGGACGTTGACGGAGACGTGGACGTGGACGTGGACGTGGAGGACGTGGACGTGGACGTGGACGTGGAGGACGTGGACGTGGACGTGGACGTGGACGTGGTCGTGGACGTGGACGTGGTCGTGGACGTGGACGTGGACGTGGACGTGGACGTGGTCGTGGACGTGGACGTGGACGTGGACGTGGACGTGGTCGTGGACGTGGACATGGACGTGGACGTGGACGTGGCCTGGACGTGGAGAACGTGGACGTGGACGTGGAGGACGTGGACGTGGACGTAGACGTGGACGTGGACGTGGACGTGGACGTGGTCGTGGACAGGGACGTGGACGTGGACGTGGTCTTGGACGTGGACGTGAACGTGGACGTGGAGGACCTGGACGTGGACGTGGAGGACGTGGACGTGGACGTAGACGTGGACGTGGACGAGGACGCGGTCGTAGACGTGGACGTGGTCGTGGACGTGGACGTGGACGTGGACGAGGACGTGGACGTGGACGTGGTCGTGGACGTGGACGTGGACGTGGTCGTGGACGTGGACGTGGACGTGGACGTGGACGTGGTCCTGAACGTGGACGTGGACGTGGACGTGGACGTGGACGTGGACATGGACGTGGACCTGGAGGACGTGGACGTGGACGTGGAGGACGTGGACGTTGACGTGGACGTGGACGTGGACGTGGACGTTGTCGTAGACGTGGACGTGGACGTGGACGTGGAGGTGGACGTGGACTTGAACGTGGACGTGGACGTGGACGTGGACGTGGCCGTGGACGTGGACGTGGCCGTGGACGTGGACGTGGACCTGGCCCTAGACGTGGACGTGGACCTGGACATGGACGTGGACGAGGACGTGGACGTGGACGTGGACGTGGACGTGGACGTGGACGTGGACATGGACGTGGACATGGAGGACGTGGACGTGGACGTGGCGGACGTGGACGTTGACGTGGACGTGGACGTGGACGTGGACGTTGTCATGGACGTGGACTTGAACGTGGATGTGGACGTGGACGTGGACGTGGCCGTGGACGTGGACGTGGCCGTGGACGTGGACGTGGACCTGGCCCTGGACGTGGACGTGGATGTGGACGTGGACGTGGACGTGGACGTGGTCGTGGACGTGGACGTAGACGTGGACGTGGACTTGGACGTGGACGTGGACGGAGACGTGGACGTGGACGTGAACGTGGAGGACGTGGACGTGGACGTGGACGTGGAGGACGTGGACGTGGACGTGGACGTGGACGTGGTCGTGGACGTGGACGTGGACGTGGTCGTGGACGTGGACGTGGACGTGGTCGTGGACGTGGACGTGGACGTGGACGTGGACGTGGTCGTGGACGTGGACGTGGACGTGGACGTGGACGTGGCCTGGACGTGGAGAACGTGGACGTGGACGTGGAGGACGTGGACGTGGACGTAGACGTGGACGTGGACGTGGACGTGGACGTGGTCGTGGACGTGGACGTGGACGTGGACGTGGACGTGGTCGTGGACGTGGACGTGGACGTGGACGTGGACGTGGAGGACGTGGACGTGGACGTGGAGGACGTGGACGTGGACGTAGACGTGGACGTGGACGAGGACGCGGTCGTGGACGTGGACGTGGTCGTGGACGTGGACGTGGACGTGGACGTGGACGTGGACGTGGACGTGGTCGTGGACGTGGACGTGGACGTGGTCGTGGACGTGGACGTGGACGTGGACGTGGACGTGGTCCTGAACGTGGACGTGGACGTGGACGTGGACGTGGACGTGGACATGGACGTGGACCTGGAGGACGTGGACGTGGACGTGGAGGACGTGGACGTTGACGTGGACGTGGACGTGGACGTGGACGTTGTCGTAGACGTGGACGTGGACGTGGACGTGGAGGTGGACGTGGACTTGAACGTGGACGTGGACGTGGACGTGGACGTGGCCGTGGACGTGGACGTGGCCGTGGACGTGGACGTGGACCTGGCCCTAGACGTGGACGTGGACGTGGACCTGGACATGGACGTGGACGAGGACGTGGACGTGGACGTGGACTTGGACGTGGACGTGGACGTGGACGTGGACGTGGTCGTAGACGTGGACGTGGACGTGGACGTGGTCGTGGACGTGGACGTGGACGTGGACGTGGACGTGGAGGTGGATGTGGACGTGGACGTGGACGTGGACGTGGAGGACGTGGACGTGGACGTGGACGTGGAGGACGTGGACGTGGAGGACGTGGACATGGACGTGGACGTGGATGTGGAAGTGGTCGTGGACGTGGACGTGGTCGTAGACGTGGACGTGGACGTGGTCGTGGACGTGGACGTGGAAAATGTGGACATGGACGTGGACGTGGACGTAGACGTGGAGGACGTGGACGTGGAGGACGTGGACATGGACGTGGACGTGGACGTGGAAGTGGACGTGGAAGTGGTCGTGGACGTGGACGTGGTCGTAGACGTGGACGTGGACGTGGACGTGGACGTGGAGGACGTGGACGTGGACGTGGAGGACGTGGACGTGGACGTCGACGTCGACGTGGACGTGGTCGTGGACGTGGACATGGACGTGGACGTGGACCTGGTCGTGGACGTGGACGAGGACGTGGACGTGGACGTGGACGTGGACGTAGACTTGGACGTGGACGTGGACGTGGACATGGCCCTGGACGTGGACGTGGACGTGGACGTGGTCGTGGACGTGGACGTGGACGTGGACGTGGACGTGGTCGTGGACGCAGACGTGGACGTAGACGTGGACGTGGACGTGGACTTGGACGTGGAGGTGGACGTGGACGTGGACGTGGAGGACGTGGACGTGGAGGACGTGGACGTGGACGTGGACGTGGACGTGGTCGTGGACGTGGACGTGGTCGTAGACGTGGACGTGGTCGTGGACGTGGACGTGGACGTGGACCTGGACGTGGACGTGGACGTGGACGTGGTCGTGGTCGTGGACGTGGACGTGGACGTGGACGTGGACGTGGTCGTGGACGTGGATGAGGACGTGGAGAGGGACGTGGACGTGGACGTGGCCGTGGACGTGGACGTGGACGTGGCCGTGGACGTGGACGTGGACGTGGTCGTGGACGTGGACGTGGACATGGACGTGGTCGTGGACGTGGACGTGGACGTGGACGTGGACGTGGACGAGGACGTGGACGTGGACGTGGAGGACGTGGACGTGGACGTGGAGGACGTGGACGTGGTCGTGGACGTGGACGTGGACGTGGTCATGGTCGTGGTCGTGGACGTGGACGTGGTCATGGTCGTGGACGTGGACGTGGTCGTGGACGTGGACGTGGACGTGGTCGTGGTCGTGAACGTGGACGTGGTCGTGGACGTGGACGTGGACGTGGACGTGGTCGTGGACGTGGACGTGGACGTGGACCTTGACGTGGACGTGGACGTGGACCTGGACATGGACGTGGACGTGGACCTGGACGTGGACGTGGACGTGGACGTGGTCGTGGACGTGGACGTGGACGTGGACTTGGACGTGGACGTGGACGTGGACGTGGACGTGGACGTGGTCATGGACGTGGACGTGGACGTGGACATGGACTTGGACGTGGACGTGGACGTGGTCGTGGACGTGGACGTGGACGTGGAGTGGACGTGGAGGACGTGGACGTGGACGTGGAGGACGTGGACGTGGACGTGGACGTGGACGTGGTCGTGGACGTGGACGTGGACGTGGACATGGACGTGGACGTGGACGAGGACGTGGACGTGGACGTGGACGTGGACTTGGACGTGGACGTGGAAGTGGACGTAGACGTGGACGTGGACGTGGAAGTGGACGTGGACGTGGTCGTGGCCCTGGACGTGGACGTGGACGTGGACGTGGTCGTGGACGTGGACTTGGACGTGGACGTGGACGTGGAGGTGGACGTGGACGTGGACGTGGAGGTGGACGTGGACGTGGAGGTGGACGTGGACGTTGACGTGGACGTGGACGTGGTCGTGGACGTGGACGTGGACATGGACGTGGACCTGGTCGTGGAGGTGGACGTGGACGTGGTCGTGGACGTGGACGTGGACGTGGAGGTGGACGTGGACGTGGACGTGGACGTGGAGGTGGAAGTGGACGTGGACGTGGAAGTGGACGTGGACGTGGACGTGGACGTGGATGTGGACGTGGACGTGGTCGTGGCCCTGGACGTGGACGTGGACGTGGTCGTGGACGTGGACGTGGACGTGGACGTGGTCGTGGACGTGGACTTGGACGTGGACGTGGACGTGGACGTGGTCGTGGACGTGGAAGTGGACGTGGACGTGGAGGTGGACGTGGACGTGGAGGTGGACGTGGACGTTGACGTGGACGTGGACGTGGTCGTGGACGTGGACGTGGACTTGGACGTGGACGTGGACGTGGTCGTGGATGTGGACGTGGACGTGGACGTGGACGTGGACGTGGACGTGGAGGTGGACGTGGACGTGGACGTGGACGTGGATGTGGACGTGGACGTGGACGTGGACGTGGTCGTGGACGTGGACGTGGACGTGGACGTGGAGGTGGAGGTGGTCGTGGACGTGGACGTGGACGTCGACGTGGACGTGGACGACGTGGACGTGGACGTTGACGTGGACGTGGACGTGCACGTGGAGGTGGACGTGGACGTGGACGTGGAGGTGGACGTGGACGTGGACGTGGACGTGGTCGTGGACGTGGACGTGGAGGTGGAGGTGGTCGTGGACGTGGACGTGGACGTGGACGTCGACGTGGACGTGGACGACGTGGACGTGGACGTGGACGTGGACGTGCACGTGGACGTTGACATGGACGTGGACGTGGACGTGGTCGTGGACGTGGACGTGGTCGTGGACGTGGACGTGGTCGTGGACGTGGTCGTGGACGTGGTCGTGGACGTAGACGTGGACGTGGACGTGGACGTGGTCGTGGTCGTGGACGTGGACGTGGACGTGGACGTGGACGTGGACGTGGTCGTGGTCGTGGACGTGGACGTGGACTTGGTCGTGGACGTGGACGTGGACGTGGTCGTGGACGTGGACGTGGACGTGGACATGGACGTGGACGTGGACGAGGACGTGGACGTGGACGAGGACGTGGACATGGACGTGGACATGGAGGACGTGGACGTGGACGTGGAGGACGTGGACATGGACGTGGACGTGGACGTGGACGTTGTCGTAGACGTGGACGTGGACGTGGATGTGGACGTGGACTTGAACGTGGACGTGGACGTGGACGTGGACGTGGCCGTGGACGTGGACGTGGACGTGGACGTGGACCTGGCCCTGGACGTGGACGTGGACGTGGACGTGGACGTGGACCTGGCCCTGGACGTGAACGTGGTCGTGGACGTGGACGTGGACGTGGCCGTGGACGTGGACGTGGACCTGGACGTGGACGTGGACGTGGACGTGGACGTGGACGTGGAGGACGTGGACGTGGTCGTGGACGTGGACGTGGACGTGGACGTGGACGTGGACATGGAGGACGTGGTCGTGGACGTGGTCGTGGACGTGGACGTGGACGTGAAGGACGTGGACGTGGACGTGGACGTGGACGTGGTCGTGGACGTGGACGTGGACGTGGACGTGGACGTGGACGTGGACGTGGACGTGGACGTGGTCGTGGACGTGGACGTGGACGTGGACGTGGACGTGGACGTGGACGTGGTCGTGGACGTGGACGTGGACGTGGACCTGGTCGTGGACGTGGACGTGGACGTGGACGTGGCCTGGACGTGGACATGGACGTGGACGTGGACCTGGTCGTGGACGTGGACGAGGACGTGGACGTGGACGTGGACGTGGACGTAGACTTGGACGTGGACGTGGACGTGGACGTGGACATGGCCCTAGACGTGGACGTGGACGTGGACGTGGACGTGGTCGTGGACGTGGACGTGGACGTGGACGTGGTCGTGGACGCAGACGTGGACGTAGACGTGGACGTGGACGTGGACTTGGACGTGGAGGTGGACGTGGACGTGGACGTGGAGGACGTGGACGTGGAGGACGTGGATGTGGACGTGGACGTGGACGTGGTCGTGGACGTGGACGTGGTCGTAGACGTGGACGTGGTCGTGGACGTGGACGTGGACGTGGATCTGGACGTGGACGTGGACGTGGACGTGGTCGTGGTCGTGGACGTGGACGTGGACGTGGACGTGGACGTGGTCGTGGACGTGGATGAGGACGTGGAGAGGGACGTGGACGTGGACGTGGCCGTGGACGTGGACGTGGACGTGGCCGTGGACGTGGACGTGGACGTGGACGTGGTCGTGGACGTGGACGTGGACATGGACGTGGTCGTGGACGTGGACGTGGACGTGGACGTGGACGTGGACGAGGACGTGGACGTGGACGTGGAGGACGTGGACGTGGACGTGGAGGACGTGGACGTGGTCGTGGACGTGGACGTGGACGTGGTCATGGTCGTGGTCGTGGACGTGGACGTGGTCGTGGTCGTGGACGTGGACGTGGTCGTGGACGTGGACGTGGACGTGGTCGTGGTCGTGAACGTGGACGTGGTCGTGGACGTGGACGTGGACGTGGACGTGGTCGTGGACGTGGACGTGGACCTTGACGTGGACGTGGACGTGGACCTGGACGTGGACGTGGACGTGGACCTGGACGTGGACGTGGACGTGGACGTGGTCGTGGACGTGGACGTGGACGTGGACTTGGACGTGGACGTGGACGTGGACGTGGACGTGGACGTGGTCATGGACGTGGACGTGGACGTGGACATGGACTTGGACGTGGACGTGGACGTGGTCGTGGACGTGGACGTGGACGTGGAGTGGACGTGGAGGACGTGGACGTGGACGTGGAGGACGTGGACGTGGACGTGGACGTGGTCGTGGACGTGGACGTGGACGTGGACATGGACGTGGACGTGGACGAGGACGTGGACGTGGACGTGGACGTGGACTTGGACGTGGACGTGGAAGTGGACGTAGACGTGGACGTGGACGTGGAAGTGGACGTGGACGTGGTCGTGGCCCTGGACGTGGACGTGGACGTGGACGTGGTCGTGGACGTGGACTTGGACGTAGACGTGGACGTGGAGGTGGACGTGGACGTGGACGTGGAGGTGGACGTGGACGTGGAGGTGGACGTGGACGTTGACGTGGACGTGGACGTGGTCGTGGACGTGGACGTGGACATGGACGTGGACCTGGTCGTGGAGGTGGACGTGGACGTGGTCGTGGACGTGGACGTGGACGTGGAGGTGGACGTGGACGTGGACGTGGACGTGGACGTGGACGTGGACGTGGACGTGGACATGGTCGTGGTCGTGGACGTGGACGTGGACGTGGAGGTGGACGTGGACGTGGACGTGGACGTGGACGTCGACGTGGACGTGGACGACGTGGACGTGGACGTTGATGTGGACGTGGACGTGCACGTAGACGTTGACATGGACGTGGACGTGGACGTGGTCGTGGACGTGGACGTGCTCGTGGTCGTGGACGTGGACATGGACGTGGACGTGGACGAGGTCGTGGACGTCGACGTGGACAAGGACGTGGACGTGGACGTGGTCGTGGTCGTGGTCGTGGACGTGGACGTGGACGTGGACGTGGACGTGGTTGTGGTCGTGGACGTGGACGTGGACTTGGTCGTGGACGTGGACGTGGACGTGGTCGTGGACGTGGACGTGGACGTGGTCCTGGACGTGGACGTGGACGTGGACGTGGACGTGGACATGGACGTGGACATGGAGGATGTGGACGTGGACGTGGAGGACGTGGACGTTGACGTGGACGTGGATGTGGACGTGGACGTGGTCGTGGTCGTGGACGTGGACGTGGACGTGGACGTGGACGTGGACGTGGTCGTGGTCGTGGACGTGGACGTGGTCGTGGTCGTGAACGTAGACGTGGTCGTGGACGTGGACGTGGACGTGGACGTGTTCGTGGACGTGGACGTGGACGTGGACCTGGACGTGGACGTGGACGTGGACCTGGACGTGGACGTGGACGTGGACCTGGACGTGGACGTGGACGTGGACGTGGTCGTGGACGTGGACGTGGACGTGGACTTGGACGTGGACGTGGACGTGGACGTGGACGTGGACGTGGACGTGGTCATGGACGTGGACGTGGACGTGGACATGGACGTGGTCATGGACGTGGACGTGGACGTGGACGTGGTCATGGACGTTGACGTGGACGTGGTCGTGGACGTGGACGTGGACGTGGACGTGGACGTGGTCATGGACGTTGACGTGGACGTGGTCGTGGACGTGGACGTGGACGTGGAGTGGACGTGGAGGACGTGGACGTGCACGTGGAGGACGTGGACGTGGTCGTGGACGTGGACGTGGACGTGGACCTGGACGTGGACGTGGACGAGGACGTGGACGTGGACGTGGACGTGGACTTGGACGTGGACGTGGAAGTGGACATGGACGTGGAAGTGGACGTGGACGTGGACGTGGACGTGGATGTGGACGTGGACGTGGTCGTGGCCCTGGACGTGGACGTGGACGTGGTCGTGGACGTGGACGTGGACGTGGACGTGGTCGTGGACGTGGACTTGGACGTGGACGTGGACGTGGTCGTGGACGTGGAAGTGGACGTGGACGTGGAGGTGGACGTGGACGTGGAGGTGGACGTGGACGTTGACGTGGACGTGGACGTGGTCGTGGACGTGGACGTGGACTTGGACGTGGACGTGGACGTGGTCGTGGATGTGGACGTGGACGTGGTCGTGGACGTGGACGTGGACGTGGAGGTGGACGTGGACGTGGACGTGGACGTGGAGGTGGACGTGGACGTGGACGTGGACGTGGTCGTGGACGTGGACGTGGACGTGGACGTGGAGGTGGAGGTGGTCGTGGACGTGGACGTGGACGTCGACGTGGACGTGGACGACGTGGACGTGGACGTTGACGTGGACGTGGACGTGCACGTGGAGGTGGACGTGGACGTGGACGTGGAGGTGGACGTGGACGTGGACGTGGACGTGGTCGTGGACGTGGACGTGGAGGTGGAGGTGGTCGTGGACGTGGACGTGGACGTGGACGTCGACGTGGACGTGGACGACGTGGACGTGGACGTGGACGTGGACGTGCACGTGGACGTTGACATGGACGTGGACGTGGACGTGGTCGTGGACGTGGACGTGGTCGTGGTCGTGGACGTGGACGTGGTCGTGGACGTGGTCGTGGACGTGGTCGTGGACGTAGACGTGGACGAGGACGTGGACGTGGACGTGGTCGTGGTCGTGGACGTGGACGTGGACGTGGACGTGGACGTGGACGTGGACGTGGTCGTGGTCGTGGACGTGGACGTGGACTTGGTCGTGGACGTGGACGTGGACGTGGTCGTGGACGTGGACGTGGACGTGGACATGGACGTGGACGTGGACGAGGACGTGGACGTGGACGAGGACGTGGACATGGACGTGGACATGGAGGACGTGAACGTGGACGTGGAGGACGTGGACATGGACGTGGACGTGGACGTGGACGTTGTCGTAGACGTGGACGTGGACGTGGATGTGGACGTGGACTTGAACGTGGACGTGGACGTGGACGTGGACGTGGCCGTGGACGTGGACGTGGACCTGGCCCTGGACGTGGACGTGGACGTGGACGTGGACGTGGACCTGGCCCTGGACGTGAACGTGGTCGTGGACGTGGACGTGGACGTGGCCGTGGACGTGGACGTGGACCTGGACGTGGACGTGGACGTGGACGTGGACGTGGAGGACGTGGACGTGGTCGTGGACGTGGACGTGGACGTGGACGTGGAGGACGTGGTCGTGGACGTGGAGGACGTGGACGTGGACGTAGACGTGGACGTGGACGTGGACGTGGACGTGGTCGTGGACGTGGACGTGGACGTGGACCTGGACGTGGAGGACGTGGACGTGGAGGACGTGGACGTGGACGTAGACGTGGACGTGGACGTGGACGCGGTCGTGGACGTGGTCGTGGACGAGGACGTGGACGTGGTCGTGGACGTGGACGTGGACGTGGTCGTGGACGTGGACGTGGACGTGGACGTGGTCCTGGACGTGGACGTGGACGTGGTCCTGGACGTGGACGTGGACGTGGACGTGGACATGGACGTGGACGTGGAGGACGTGGACGTGGACGTGGCGGACGTGGACGTTGACGTGGACGTTGACGTGGACGTGGACGTTGTCGTAGACGTGGACGTGGACGTGGACGTGGATGTGGACGTGGACTTGAACGTGGACGTGGACGTGGACATGGCCGTGGACGTGGACGTGGCCGTGGACGTGGATGTGGACCTGGCCCTGGACGTGGACGTGGATGTGGACGTGGACGTGGACGTGGACGTGGACGTGGTCCCTGACGTGGACGTGGACGTGGACGTGGAGGACGTGGACGTGGACGTGGACATGGACGTGGACGTGGACGTGGTCGTGGACGTGGACATGGACGTTGACGTGGACGTGGTCGTGGACGTGGACGTGGACGTGGAGGACATGGACGTGGAGGACGTGGACGTGGACGTGGACGTGGTCGTGGACGTGGACGTGGACGTGGACGTGGTCGTGGACGTGGACGTGGACGTGGTCGTGGACGTGGACGTGGGCGTGGACGTGGACGTGGACGTGGACGTGGACGTGGACCTGGACGTGGACGTGGACGTGGACGTGGGCGTGGTCGTGGACGTGGACGTGGAGGACGTTGACGTGGACGTGGAGCACGTGGACGAGTACGTAGACGTGGTCGTGGACGTGGACGTGGACGTGGTCGTGGACGTGGACGAGGACGTGGACACGGACGTGGACGTGGACGTGGACGTGGACGTGGACGTGGACTTGGACGTGGACGTGGACGTGGACGTGGACGTGGCCGTGGACGTGGACGTGGACGTGGTCGTGGACGTGGTCGTGGACGTGGACGTGGACGTGGTCGTGGACGTGGACGAGGACGTGGACAGGGACGTGGACGTGGACGTGGACGTGGACGTGGACAGGGACGTGGACGTGGACGTGGACGTGGACTTGGACGTGGACGTGGACGTGGACGTGGACGTGGCCGTGGACGTGGACATGGACGTGGACGTGGACGTGGTCGTGGACGTGGACGTGGACGTGGACGTGGACGTGGACGTGGACGTGGTCGTGGACGTGGACGTGGACGTGGACGTGGACGTGGACGTGGACTTGGACGTGGACGTGGACGGGGACGTGGACGTGGACGTGGAGGACGTGGACGTGGACGTGGACGTGGAGGACGTGGACGTGGACGTGGACGTGGACGTGGTCGTGGACGTGGACGTGGTCGTGGACGTGGACGTGGACGTGGTCGTGGACGTGGACGTGGACGTGGACGTGGACGTGGAGAACGTGGACGTGGACGTGGACGTGGACGTGGACGTGGACCTGGAGAACGTGGACGTGGACGTGGAGGACGTGGACGTGGACGTGGACGTGGATGTGGACGTGGACGTGGTCGTGGACGTGGACGTGGACGTGGACGTGGTCGTGGACGTGGACGTGGATGTGGACGTGGACGTGGATGTGGACGTGGACGTGGACGTGGACGTGGAGGACGTGGACGTGGACGTGGAGGACGTGGACGTGGACGTAGACGTGGACGTGGACGAGGACGTGGACGTGGACGAGGACGCGGTCGTGGACGTGGACGTGGTCGTGGACGGGGACGTGGACGTGGACGAGGACGTGGACGTGGACGTGGTCGTGGACGTGGACGTGGACGTGGTCGTGGACGTGGACGTGGACGTGGACGTGGACGTGGATGTGGTCCTGGACGTGGACGTGGACGTGGACGTGGACGTGGACGTGGACATGGACGTGGACATGGAGGACGTGGACGTGGACGTGGAGGACGTGGACGTTGACGTGGACGTGGACGTGGACGTTGTCGTAGACGTGGACGTGGACGTGGACGTGGAGGTGGACGTGGACTTGAACGTGGACGTGGACGTGGACGTGGACGTGGCCGTGGACGTGGACGTGGCCGTGGACGTGGACTTGGACCTGGCCCTAGACGTGGACGTGGACGTGGACGTGGACGTGGAGGACGTGGACGTGGTCGTGGACGTGGACGTGGACGTGGACGTGGACGTGGAGGACGTGGTCGTGGACGTGGAGGACGTGGACGTGGACGTAGACGTGGACGTGGACGTGGACGTGGACGTGGTCGTGGACGTGGACGTGGACGTGGACCTGGACGTGGAGGACGTGGACGTGGACGACGTGGACGTGGACGTAGACGTGGACGTGGACGTGGACGCGGTCGTGGACGTGGTCGTGGACGAGGACGTGGACGTGGTCGTGGACGTGGACGTGGACGTGGTCGTGGACGTGGACGTGGACGTGGACGTGGTCCTGGACGTGGACGTGGACGTGGTCCTGGACGTGGACGTGGACGTGGACGTGGACATGGACGTGGACGTGGAGGACGTGGACGTGGACGTGGCGGACGTGGACGTTGACGTGGACGTTGACGTGGACGTGGACGTTGTCGTAGACGTGGACGTGGACGTGGACGTGGATGTGGACGTGGACTTGAACGTGGACGTGGACGTGGACATGGCCGTGGACGTGGACGTGGCCGTGGACGTGGATGTGGACCTGGCCCTGGACGTGGACGTGGATGTGGACGTGGACGTGGACGTGGACGTGGACGTGGTCCCTGACGTGGACGTGGACGTGGACGTGGAGGACGTGGACGTGGACGTGGACGTGGACGTGGACGTGGACGTGGTCGTGGACGTGGACATGGACGTTGACGTGGACGTGGTCGTGGACGTGGACGTGGACGTGGAGGACATGGACGTGGAGGACGTGGACGTGGACGTGGACGTGGTCGAGGACGTGGACGTGGACGTGGACGTGGTCGTGGACGTGGACGTGGACGTGGTCGTGGACGTGGACGTGGGCGTGGACGTGGACGTGGACGTGGACGTGGACCTGGACGTGGACGTGGACGTGGACGTGGGCGTGGTCGTGGACGTGGACGTGGAGGACGTTGATGTGGACGTGGAGCACGTGGACGAGTACGTAGACGTGGTCGTGGACGTGGACGTGGACGTGGTCGTGGACGTGGACGAGGACGTGGACACGGACGTGGACGTGGACGTGGACGTGGACGTGGACGTGGACTTGGACGTGGACGTGGACGTGGACGTGGACGTGGCCGTGGACGTGGACGTGGACGTGGACGTGGTCGTGGACGTGGTCGTGGACGTGGACGTGGACGTGGTCGTGGACGTGGACGAGGACGTGGACAGGGACGTGGACGTGGACGTGGACGTGGACGTGGACAGGGACGTGGACGTGGACGTGGACGTGGACTTGGACGTGGACGTGGACGTGGACGTGGACGTGGACGTGGCCGTGGACGTGGACATGGACGTGGACGTGGACGTGGTCGTGGACGTGGACGTGGACGTGGACGTGGACGTGGACGTGGACGTGGTCGTGGACGTGGACGTGGACGTGGACGTGGACGTGGACTTGGACGTGGACGTGGACGGGGACGTGGACGTGGACGTGGAGGACGTGGACGTGGACGTGGACGTGGAGGACGTGGACGTGGACGTGGACGTGGACGTGGTCGTGGACGTGGACGTGGTCGTGGTCGTGGACGTGGACGTGGACGTGGACGTGGACGTGGAGAACGTGGACGTGGACGTGGACGTGGACGTGGACGTGGAGAACGTGGACGTGGACGTGGAGGACGTGGACGTGGACGTGGACGTGGATGTGGACGTGGACGTGGTCGTGGACGTGGACGTGGACGTGGACGTGGACGTGGACGTGGACGTGGACGTGGATGTGGACGTGGACGTGGATGTGGACGTGGACGTGGACGTGGACGTGGAGGACGTGGACGTGGACGTGGAGGACGTGGACGTGGACGTAGACGTGGACGTGGACGAGGACGTGGACGTGGACGAGGACGCGGTCGTGGACGTGGACGTGGTCGTGGACGGGGACGTGGACGTGGACGAGGACGTGGACGTGGACGTGGTCGTGGACGTGGACGTGGACGTGGTCGTGGACGTGGACGTGGACGTGGACGTGGACGTGGATGTGGTCCTGGACGTGGACGTGGACGTGGACGTGGACGTGGACGTGGACGTGGACATGGACGTGGACATGGAGGACGTGGACGTGGACGTGGAGGACGTGGACGTTGACGTGGACGTGGACGTGGACGTTGTCGTAGACGTGGACGTGGACGTGGACGTGGAGGTGGACGTGGACTTGAACGTGGACGTGGACGTGGACGTGGACGTGGCCGTGGACGTGGACGTGGCCGTGGACGTGGACGTGGACCTGGCCCTAGACGTGGACGTGGACGTGGACCTGGACATGGACGTGGACGAGGACGTGGACGTGGACGTGGACTTGGACGTGGACGTGGACGTGGACGTGGACGTGGACGTGGTCGTGGACGTGGACGTGGACGTGGTCGCGGACGTGGACGTGGACGTGGACTTGGACGTGGACGTGGACGTGGACGTGGAGGACGTGGACGTGGACGTGGAGGACGTGGACGTGGAGGACGTGGACATGGACGTGGACGTGGACGTGGAAGTGGTCGTGGACGTGGACGTGGTCGTGACGTGGACGTGGACGTGGTCGTGGACGTGGACGTGGACGTAGACGTGGACCTGGTCTTGGACGTGGACGTGGACGTTGACGTGGTCATGGACGTGGACGTGGACATGGACGTGGAGGACGTGGACGTGGACGTGGAGGACGTGGACGTGGACGTCGACGTCGACGTGGACGTGGAGGTGGACTTGGACGTGGTCGTGGACGTGGACGTGGACGTGGACGTGGACGTGGTCGTGGACGTGGACGAGGACGTGGACGTGGACGTGGACGTGGACTTGGACGTGGACGTGGACGTGGACGTGGGCGTGGACATGGCCCTGGACGTGGACGTGGACGTGGACGTGGACGTGGTCGTGGACGTGGACGTGGACGTGGACGTGGTCGTGGACGTGGACGTGAACGTGGACGTGGACTTGGACGTGGACGTGGACGTGGACTTGGACGTGGACGTGGACGTGGAGGACGTGGCAAGGACGTGGAGGACGTGGACGTGGAGGACGTGGACGTGGACGTGGACGTGGACGTGGACGTGGTCGTAGACGTGGACGTGGACGTGGTCGTGGACGTCGACGTGGACGTGGACGTGGACGTGGACGTGGACGTGGTCGTGGACGTGGACGTGGACGTGGACGTGGACGAGGACGTGGACGTGGACGTGGACGTTGCTTTGGACGTGGACGTGGACGTGGACGTGGACATGGCCCTGGACGTGGACGTGGACGTGGACGTGGACCTGGACCTGGACGTGGACGTGGACGTGGACGTCGACGTGGACGTGGCCCTGGACGTGGACGTGGATGTGGACCTGGACCTGGACCTGGACGTGGACGTGGACTTGGTCGTGGACGTCGACGTGGACGTGGACGTGGACGTGGACCTGGTCATGGACGTGGACGTGGACGTGGTCGTCGACGTGGACGTGGACGTGGACGTGGACGTGGTCGTGGACGTGGACGTGGTCGTGGACGTGGACGTGGACGTGGACGTGGTCGTGGACGTGGACGTGGACGTGGACGTGGACGTGGTCGTGGACGTGGACGTGGACGTGGACGTGGATGGGATGTGGACGTCCTAAACCCAGGCAGATCGGACGAGCGCACTCCGAAAATGGAGTGTATGTCCTAGATTTCGACATTCCCGACTTCAGCGGCGACTCGCACGAGTTGATTGATCTCGTGCCACTGCGCTTCGAGCACATCCACCGTTGATTGGAAGCACCGTGACGGCAGACCGTGGGTGCCGCATCATCCCCACCCACGCGAAACGGCGTTACACAACCCCGATCCAGATGGCATCTGCAGGGATTGTTACACGCTGACGACATCAACGAGCGCGATTGCCGGCCGCGGACTTGCCGCCATCGCTGAAGCAGAGCGCCACACGCCCCTAGAGGAAGGGATGTCGCAGCTCGAGCTTGAAGTTACTACCCACGGCATTTTCGGCACACCAGAGCATCCCCTCATCGGTCCCCCCTCACAGCACCTTCAAGGCATGCCGCGCGGAACTGGCGTAGGCACCTTTGATGCCCATGGCGAGCTGCGACCCTACACCTACGAGAGGTTTCTGGCCATCTACTCTCATCGACGCGACTCATCGAAAAAACTCACCGCCGAGCAAGAGGAAGAATTGGCGCGCCGCGAAGCTAAGGAGCTTCGCCAGCAAAGCCTCGCAGAAGCACATGGGACCTTCGCTTGCGCCACCTGGGGAGCTGAGGATGAAGAAAGTGCCTCCAATGAAGGGGGGTGGGGGAGCGCTGGAGGATGGGGAACAAGTGACACTAGCGGCAAGGGAGACAACGGCGGAACCTGGGCCAACGCGAGCGACGGATGGGGTGCCGCAACTAGCGCCGACAATAGCGGCAGGGGTACTTTCCGCGAAGAACGAAAGGGGGGAGAGGATGAAGCTGAGGAAACTGAGGCAACACCTGTAGTCGTTCCTCTTGGTCGTCCCCCGTGTCACATTCCACTCGCACCACCTCCTCCTGACAACCCCCCACGTCGTGATCCATGGGACACCATCATCTGGGGCAACGAGCCGTCAACCCCGCGTCGCACCGTCTACGGACCTGCCCCTGAGCCACGCGAACCCACCTTCGTCCCTGGAACCATCCCCGGGACCAACATTCTGCTCTCTGAGATTCGCGACAGAGAGTTCTTGGCGCTGATGCTGACCACCACGCCGGAAGAAGAAGAAGCAGAGGGAGTAGCAGCAGAACCTGCTCCTGTACCTGACGAAGACCCTGAGGAAGCGCGCGCGCGCTACATTCGCACCTCCGGCTTTCGCGCTGACGTTACTCTCTGGCACCAGCGCCTCGGACACCCTTCACGCGCGACGCTGAAAAACTGCATCGACGCAGGCGTCTTCGCTCCTGGCGCACTCCTGCGCCCTGATGGCTCCGAAGTGAGAGGCGCGACACATCCGCGCAACTGCACCGTCTGCCCCGAAGCTGCGCTGAGCCACCAACCGTTCCCGCTGCTCGAACCTGGAACGAACCGCTACCCCAAGCTGCACAAGGTGTACAGCGATTTCCTGAATGTGGGGCATTGCGGAGTCGAGGACGAAATGTACACGCTCACCTTCATCGACGCTGGAACGCGCTACGTATGGGTCATGAACGTGGAGTCACGTGAGAGAGCCTACGAGGTGTTTCGCCTCTGGCTGGCGCACGCAGAGCGACAGTCTGGGAAGAAGCTGAAAATCTGGCAATCTGACGGCGCGGCAGAATTCAGGAGCAACCAGATGCAAACCTACCTCACGCAAAAGGGGATCGAGCACCACATTTCTCTCCCCTACACGCACCAGCAGCAGGGCGTAGCTGAGCGGACGAACCGCACGCTAATGACGAAGGTGCGCGCGCTGATGAAGCAGTCGAAATTGCCGTCGATCTACTGGACCTACGCAATGCACCACGCCGTGCGGGTGCACAACCTACTTTCAACCACCGCCATCACCGGCAATCTGTCCCCGCACGTCAAATGGACCGGGACCAAAGGGGATACCTCCATGCTGCGCGTATGGGGTGCATGGTTCAATACCGCCCGCCGACTTCAACCATCGGCAAATTCGCCAGCCGGGCGCGCTGGGGGATCCATCTCGGCATCAGTCACGAGTTCAAGGCATGGATCGTGCTGGACCTCCTCAGTCAGAAAATCGCTCACACTCGCGAAGTCATCTTCTACGAGCGCTTCTTCCTCGACCAGTTCCGCCGCGACGAAGAAACGAACGCGAACCGCGTCTATGCGAACGATGGGCACAGCTACGCAACGCCCGAAGACGAAGCCGCTGCAGCAATCTTGGAGCAGGACACGAGGGGCGAGTTCATGTGGGAAGAACGACGCAGCAGCGACTACGACGACGACGACGATTCCTCGGGAGGAGGAATGGGCGCAGCAGGCGGAAGCGGAACAGGCGGAAGCGGCAGAGGCACAGCACCACCAGCGCCTCCTGAACCAGAAAGCGATGACGACGACGTACAGGAAGTCATCCCGCAACGTCGCCACGACAGCACTATCTCAGGACTGCAGCTGCTCGGGCTTCACACCGCAACTTCGAAGGCGCCACGTGTCATCGAGCCCCGAAATCCGCGCGAAGCTCTTTCTGGACCACACAGCAAGGAATGGCGCGAAGCAATGGACGCAGAGATCAAGGCGCTGGAGTCACGAGACACCTGGGTGCTAGTCGACCGCGCGGCGATCAAAGGCGCAAGAATCCTCTCGGGGAAGTGGGTCTTCCGCGTGAAAACCGCAGCGGACGGAACGATCGAGCGCTTCAAGGCACGTTGGGTGGTTCGCGGCTACGATCAGAGGCATGGCATCGACTTCGACCAGACGTTCGCCCCAGTTAGCCGCCATACCTCCGTTCGAATCCTGCTCGCCATTGCAGCTGCAAGGCACCTACCACTCCGCCAGATCGACGTGAAGAACGCGTTCCTGTACGCGTTAGTGGATGCCGTGATCTACGTGGAACAGCCGCACACCTACGGCGGAGGGGACTCGCGCGTGTGCCAACTGCGAAAGTCACTCTACGGGATCAAACAGGCTCCGAGGCTGTGGCAGCAGTACCTGCACAACATCCTGCTTGAAATCGGATTCAAGTAGATGCCGCACGATCCAGGGATGTATCGCCGCGAATTCCGTGGGAAATACATTCTCCTCACGGTGTACGTCGACGACCTGCTTTACACAGGCTCAAACAACGAGCTTCTCGAGCAGTTCGAGAAGGCCTTGGCGGGGCGCGTCGACATCACGTGCAACTACGAGGTGAAGCAGTTTCTAGGCCTCCACATCTCCTACGCGCCTGAGGCCATTCATCTCTCAGCGGCTAAGTACGCAGAGGAGTTAGGGAAGCGGTTAAACATTTCACCTGCACCTCTCTCAACTCCCTACCGAACTCCCGGACCGAACCACAAACCCGACAACAAACCCCTATCCCCTGCTGGGATTCAGACTTACCAGCAGCAGTAAGGATGCCTCCTCTTCGCCTCTGTCACCTGCAGGCCAGACCTCTCGTACATCGCCAGTCAGCTGGCGCAGTATTCACGCAAACCAACGGCTGAGAATCTTCTGGATCTGCAGCGCGCCCTCCAGTTCTTCGTTTCAACGCCCAAGATTGGGCTGTGCTACTCAACTACACCAACTCCATCCTTCAACCTCATCGGCTATGTGGACGCCGATCACGCAGCAGACCCCGATAATCGACGGTCCAGGACTGGCTTCCTTTTCCGACTCGAGCCAACGGGACCAATCTCCTGGAACTCGCAGAAGCAGGAGCTGGTTGCCCTGTCGTCAGCCGAAGCGGAATTCATCGCAGCAACCGCAGCAGTTCGCGAAGGCCTCTACTTGCAGGAACTCCTGCAAGAGGCAAAGATTCCAGCTTCGCCCACATTTTGCCTTCACTGCGACAACCAGAGCGCAATTCGCATCGCGAACAAACCTGGCTTCGTCAACCGCACCAAGCACATTGCGCTACGGTACTTCTTCGTGAAGGATGAGGTGGACAAAGGCAAGGTCAACTTGACCTACTGCCCGACCGGTGACATGGCAGCAGACTTTCTCACGAAGCGACTGCCACGCCAGCAGTATCAGCACTGCTCCGAACTCAGCGGCGTGGTCAAGCAGGTCAAGTCGAGCTACGGCCAGGAGTGAAGGGGGGTGTTACGAATAGTAATACTTGAATATTACTGTGCACTCCTCACCGTAGCAAAGCCGAAGCACGCACTATCGAGAGTGAAGACGAAAAGGCAGAAGAAAGGCGAAGGGACAGACGGTTACGAGGAGCATCTGGACCGTCGGGCAGACAGCATCAGGCAGCAGCAGTGGCGAGGATTCTGCCCGAACAATTACGTAACCACTCGGAGTCGCACGGTTGGATTTCGCTGCAATAAGGGAATGTACCCCTTAGAGTACATGGCTAGTTAGGTCGTTTCGAATTCCCTTGTACTCATATTTATATTCCTTGTACCGCACGTTTTTTTAATTATTATCTCAAAGCATTTTACATTCACTTTGCTAATGAGGTCAAGGGCCCACCAACATCACTTCTCTGCGTGCGAACCTTCCTGAGTAGATCCTAGGCCACGATCAACTTCTGATCGCAACAATATGTACCCCAACTCACATCAATGACATCATCACTTCCTTTCTTAACATGGTATCACCTAGGTTCGGATCCTGTGGGATCCCGCTCCTCCCGACCTCGTTCGTCTTGCCCGAGCCTCTCGCCGGCCCGCTCTAGTCGCGTTCGTTCGTTACCGCTCGTTCCGCCGATCCACTGCTCTCGTAGCGTAGCGACCTTCTCCCCCCCCTCCCCCCTGCTGCCCGTCGCGTTTCCCCCCCTCTGCTGCCCGTCAAGTCGCGTTTCCCCCCCCCCGCTGCTCGTCGAGTCGCGTTTTCCCCCCTTCGCTGCCCGTCGAATCGCGCCTTCCCCGGCCCCCGTCGCGTCGCGCTCTCCTCGCCCGTCGTCCCGTCGTGCCCTCCCCCGCTACTCGTCGCGACGCGCCCTCCCCCCGCTGCCCTAAACGCCCGTCGCGTCGCGCCTGCCCGCCGTCGCGTCCCTACCCCCGCCCTACGCGCCCGC